GGCGCGAGTACGAGTGGTGCGTGGAGGATCCCCAAGATCTGTACTGCCCGAAGCAATAAAGGTGCGGGACTACGACTAGTGCATCACCACTACTGCGGCAGCATGTGAGCCCCTGCAGCGACGCAGTTTACTAGTGGCATCCCTCCCTCCCTCCTTCCCATGAGAAAAGCTCAACCATTTGTCCTGTCTTTTGATGTGGGAACGCGGAGAAGGAGAGGGGGGCAGGTGGCCGGAGAGTGGTGGGCTCATTTACTTTGACCAGGAAACTGCCGAGCCGGCGATGATGCCATTGCCAATCGCTCGCCGCCTCAATCAACATCTGTGGCACCGCCCTGTCAGACGACCACAAAACACAGTATACTCCGGTAATTAACTTTGCAATCGCATTATGATTTGGTATCCGTGCCGTGAGCGAATAAATAAAACACGGTCATCACCGAGCTAAATGGAATGTCGCATCAGTTGGATTTTTGTCCACATTGCAGGACCATTTTTTGTCTTCATGTGGTAATGCGAGCAAAGACGATGAATACGTATACTTACGAACTATAAACACCGCAAGGACGCAACTGTGCCGATCGCCTACACTTGTAGCGACGCATATCCAAGACTTGTCCGAAGCCTAGCCGCTCTCTAAATTCTCTTCGGTGGCACACGATTGTGCACTCATAACTGGACTTGGCGACCTTCACAGTGATAAGATTTGGACTCCACTACACTACACTCGTGTCGGATTTTTTGACCATGACAAATTAAACGTTTTCATAGCAAATTATATTCTCTGATGATGGCAACCTCGCCTCAGTTTATTTTTTGTCAAAAAATTGTCATGCTTGCACATTAAATTTTTCATCATCACGCCAATATAAATTGCCTTAAAAAACATCAGTTTTGTCATGCCTAAAAAATATGATGTCACCATGTCCACCCGGATTATTGAGGCATGTAATAATTGGTTAGTTGCTAGCTGCATAATAAATCTAACCAAAATTAAGAAAATGATAGTTTCCTCCATAAATATATGAATCCACATCTCAAATATACATGAATTATATTCTACTAGTAGCAGTACTTCTTAATACTACACGACCATCTCAAAATGATGACAACACTATCTACTGTTACCTCGAGAAAAAAAACACTATCTACTGTTAACACAAACTCAGCACAGTCCTGGGATACGACGGACGGCCAGCACATCGTGTCGACTCGGAGACAAAAACACAATCATTCGATGAGAGAGGCGCACGCATTCGTCGTGGTTTCCTTTTTTCTCCTTGCCAACAGCACATCGTCACTCGCCGTGGTCAAACGGAGACACGAGGAATGCATTTGCACGCCGCTACATTCAATAAAACAAGAAAGGAAAACAAATGCATGTGCGTCCCAAACATACTCCACTCCAGTAGCTAGATCAAAAAAATTCTATGGAGGTGTTTGCACAATGCTATCTCATGTCTTTGTGTCCTTGTAAACCGCCATATTGGCAGTAGCTCTCAATGTCCAGTATGTTTTTTCGTGAATA